CGCGCTGATTGCCTCTGCTACGACAAGAGTCCGACATCTTCACGACATGACCCAATCCGGCATGCAAGCAATCAGGAGTTTATTCATACACGAACGCTTGCATGTACGTGCATCTACAGCACCATGCATACGAAGACCATGGACCATACAAGCAAGCCGTCTTTATCCAAGTCTCCACCAGCGGACGTCGAGGCCATGCGCTTCGCCCCAGGAACACAGTTCTACTTCGACGCTTTTTGACTTCGACATCAACGGGATCGACGCCGACAACTTCAACCCGTGCTCTGGACTTCATCAAGCTACGCCACGACTCCGCACGTTGCTGAGCTCCGACCACCGAACTGATCGAGCAGCCACGTCGACCACGAACCACGTCGATCACGTCTCGAGCGGCTCCGCCGAGCTCCGACTACGTCGACCACGGACCACGTCGACCACGTCCCGAGCGGCTCCGTCGAGCTCTGACCACCAGACCACGTCCCGAGTGGCTCTGCCGAGCTCCGACCACATCGACCACCAGACCACGTCGTAATGATGATCGTCGCGAAGAACGGCTCTACGACGATCGCGACCACAGTCATGGCGACAGGTCGAAAAGCTCGAGGACTGGACAACTTCATCGCCAACGACACGTCAAGCCATCTCTCGAACATCGCAACACACCGACTACACCCACCGGTCGTCAAAGCTAAGTATTAGTTTTAATTGAAAATTTCTTGGATCATCGTACACCTCCGCCGACCACCCTTAGGGTGCGCTCCGCGTCGAATTTTCTCCATACATACAGTCCAAAACATGTATAAGTTTTTACAACGGTTCGCCGATACGTTTTCCTTCCTGCTTGAGAATCCCAGAGCCGGCACTGTCTCCGGCTCCACCCCACGCGTGCATGAGAGTCTGCCCTCTGCGCTACGGGTAGTCGGCAGTCGCTCCTTGGTAACATCGGCACTCTACGCGGGCGTTCTCGCACCTCGCTACTACGAGATGTTGGTCACCGGTGGCGGCGCATTCTTCAGACGAGTTAATACATCGCGCTACGCCACTACACAACAAAAGGGCTAAAAACAGCTAGTGTTATTTTTCGAATATTACACCAAGTATAATTCATCGCCAACCGAACACCAAGTGTTCACTTCACCTCCTATAGAGAGGTCAATATATTTCGTACACCATCATGTACTACCGCTCTCCGTGTTTATTTTTCAGGAACACAGTTCGGTCAGCGAGCTCATGCTTCAGGGTTCGCCAAGACCACTACGGTGCTCGAGGACTCTGGCCAGACCACGCTCATGCTCGGGGACTCGCCAGACCATTCCGTGCTCTGGGACTTCTCGCCAGACCACTCCGAGCTCCGACCACGTCGACCACATCTCGAGCAGCTCTGCTGAGCTCCGACCATGTCTCGAGGACTTCGTCGGTCGCTCCTCGACCTGTGCTCGGGGACTGCCTCGGTCACTCTCCGACCACGGCTCGGGGACTTCGTCGCTCGCTCCTCGACCTGGGCTCGGGGACTTCATCGCTCGCTCCTTGACCTGTGCTCAGGGACTTCGTCACTCGCTCCTCGACCTGTGCTCGGGGATTGCCTCGATCACTCTCCGACCACGGCTCGGGGACTTCGTCGCTCGCTCCTCGACTTGTGCTCGGGGACTGCCTCGATCACTCTCCGACCACGGCTCGGGGACTTCGTCGCTCGCTCCTCGACCTGTGCTCGGGGACTGCCTTGACCATGGCTCGGGGACTTCGTCGCTTGCTCCTCGACCTATGCTCGGGGACTGCCTCGACCACTCTCCGACCACGGCTCGGGGACTTCGCATCTCGACTACATGCGACAGGCAACTCGCATACAGTTGGGGATATTCTTTCTCATTTAGACCTTGCTACAAGGCTCATACCTCGCCTTCCAGCAAGCCCGGGGACTACATCGGTACGCGATGCACTGCCGTGCATCTTGTATCGCTCTTGTCGACGGTTGGATTCTCAACATAATCGGGAATTCTTTTTAGACCCTGGCACCACGTGCCTACGTCACCTACTACCAGGCTCGGGGACTAAGTGGGCAAACTTCACCTTGCGGTGAATGTGTTTGTTTTTCGACCTCTACGCCTCTGATGATCAAGGACGCTACGCTTCAGGACGCACTTACATTTCTTTTTAGAAATACAAGTGGGCACACTTTTCAGGACGGAAATCTTTTTCTTTCTTCTTAAGAGCACCATACATTCTTGGACAACCTCCTTCTCCCATGACAACGGTGGTCGGAGATGTCAAGAACTCAAGCCTCACTTGTTCGGAGAAGGTTGAAATGGCGTGTCGCATCAGAATACATGGCGCTCGGGGACTAGCTGTGGGGGATAGACCCCCGGGTACCACAAGATGGTACATGGGCCGCACCATCCGAGGTGGCCCGGCCCGTAAGATCAAGGCGTGCACATCAAGATTATAAGTTGTACTAGATATTATAATAGTACCAAATTGGATACTTTACTTATAACCTTGTCTCTTGGAGTATATAAGGAGAGACAAGGGTCCCCTAGAGGATGTACTCCCAAGGAGGTTAATCAGATACATCTCAATACAATACACCAAAGACACAGGACGTAGGGTATTACGTCGACCGACAGACGGCCCGAACTCGTCTAAATCATTTGTCTCGCGCTTTGTGTCACCATCCGGTTCCGGATCACACGCATCCTACCGATAATCTACCACCATGGGCACCCCCTCGGTGGATCGCCGACCATATTTCGTCGACAATGAGCGTCTGCGCAGCGAGAGGAGAAGTCCTCCACCGTTTCACCATCCTTGAACTTGAGGTTTGCGTACTCTCGCCTCGTAAGCTGGCCGTTGCCTTTCTTTGCGCGGGTCGGAACCGACATGCATCGCCGCAATGGCCTCCCACGCCTCCTTAGCTGAGCTCTTCGTCCCCAACGGTTCCCTATACTCCGCCGACAAGCGAATGAGTATAGCCTCCATCACGACATGTCGTCTTCTTCCACGTCGGTGCCCTTGTCAACAACATTCCGAGCCGACGGGCTCGAAGCTTGACCTTCATGGTCACCGACCACTCTCCATAGTTAGTGCGAGTCGGCGTCGGCCAAGTGGTGCCGCTTGACCTCCCGCACTGCGTCGCGAACAACTACCTCCGTCTTGGTTGGGCAGCCACGACGACAAGCGTTACATCGCCGTCGCCCAACTCCGAACCGCTTTGTCGCCGCCATCGGTTAGAATGACGACGACGCTTGTATGCGGCTCCGATACCACTTGTTGGCCCACGCTTAGCCTCCCGACCATCGAGATGATCTCCGATCACTCCGTTGGTCTCACAGATCACCGGCTCACGACAATAAACCACTCCACCGATCTTGCCGACCACCGGCTTAGGCAAGTGGAGCACTTGTCGGTCTCGCCGAAAGCACGCCGCTTAGTGTTGCCGAGCACCCACTAGCCGTGCGGACTACCACATCCGGCGTTGTCCGTACCCACACACTACGGATCGAGCTAGAAGAGGAAGGGAGAACAGAGCAAGCACGCGCACAATACAAGGCAACAACGTTGGCGAAGCCTGTCGTGTGATGGCAAATCTGAGCTCTCTTTCTTGAGTTGCCATACATGTCTATTTATACAACTCTAACTATCTAGTCCATGTGCGGCGTCCATGCCGCACAATAACTAGATAACTTTGACAGGCTGACTCTGCGCCCGCCACCGCCTTTTCCTCTCTGATCTTCAGTAGGTGAACCGTCTGGCGCTTTTTGCACCTCTGACTGCCATCTTGTATCAACAGGGGGGCAAAGTCGGCGCCGCCTTCCCTTGCTGTGTTCACACACATCAGGCAGCTAAGTCGGCGCCGTCTTCCTCTGCTGTGTTCACACAAGGTGGCAGTAGATTAGCTAACATTGGTTACATGTTAGTGGACCAGCAAGTGGAGAACTCCTAGTGCTGTTAACTGAATGACATGTGCTGTTAACTGAATTGTCTTTCTGTTTTTTTAAAGTGAATGATCTTGAATGACATTCTTGTTTCTTTAGGCTTGATGACTCCACCTCCACCTAGTAATCTAGTATAAGTTTTTTTTTTACTTATATAGTACTATTCCTATATATGTGGTTTGCTGTTTTTTGGTTAACTTCCATGGACCCACCAAACTTTCAGGCTTGATGACTCTACCTCCACCTAGTAATCTAGTATAAGTTTTTTTTTCTTATATAGTACTATTCCTATATATGTGGTTTGCTGTTTTTTTGGTTAACTTCCATGGACCCACCAAACTTGCAGCTTTAATACAATGTATTGCTCTGTTTTTTTATTGAATGGCCCTCCATGCCTGGATGAGTAGGTGCTGCCTGGATGATTAGGTGCTGCTGTAGAATGCTATAAAAAATGATTAGGTGCTGCTGTAGAATGCTATAAAAAATGATAAGGTGCTTCTGACTTATTAAGACTTTTAACACTTGTTTTCTCTACTTGTTTATATATGTAATGATATAATTTTATATATGTAACACTAGATGATGGCCTCTTGGGAGGAGGATGCTAGGAATTTTTTGTTGGAACAAGAAGAAGATGATGATGAGCTATTCTTTATTCTTCTCCCTGCTGTTGTGCCCTTTCTCCAAGAAGAGGAAACACCTGAGCACACGTCTTTTGTTACTGGTGCTAAAAAAGTTAAAGAGATCCTTGAAGGACACGAGAATTGGTGCAAGGAAGAATTTAGGATGGAGGCTGAATATATTTAGAACCTCCTCCTCATGCTCCAGTTGCTCCTCCTACTCCACTTGCTCCTCTAGAAGTGCCTCTGACTTTGGTACAAATCCATTTGCTAGTTTTGATGGGCTGTATGTCTCAAGTGCACATAATGAGGCCGATAATGAAGCTCAGTCTGCCCCGCTCAATCAAGATTTTGTGCAAGGAGCAAGTGGTGGGAAAAAGCTAAGCAAAGTCATATTGGTTCTGCTATTGAGGATTATGTGGAGTTCAAGAAGAGGCAAACAAGCAAAACCATGGAAGCTCTCAATGAAAAGAAGAGGCAAGACGAAGAATTTTCAGTTCAGAAGTGTCTTGATGAAGTGGACTCAATGGTTGGACTTACTACTGATGGGAAGTCGTATGCTTTGGATATCTTCAAAACTGAGATAAATAGGGAGATATTCATGAAAACAAAAACCAAACTGTTCGCTTTATTTGGATCAAGCGCAAGATTAGGTATGTCTCTTCCCGTACTAATCAGCACTAGATTAGTTTGATGCAAACTAATTTGTGCTGTAGCAGTGTCAGAATGGCACAATATTCAGCCTGTTCGCTGGTTGGTTTCTGGGCTGATAAGCCCGGCTGATGCTGATTTGTTGTGAGAGAAAAACACTGTTGGTTGGCTGATAAGCCCTGACTGAAACCAATAAGCGAACAGGCTCATTGTTAGCTTCATTCATTCTCTACCTGCTAATGGTTTTCCTCGTGTTTACTTGCAGAGCTCTTGGTGGAAGCAATGTATGATTTGATAAGAAAAATGCAGACGCAGTGCCTATGTGAGAAGCTTATGCAAAGGAGTTTTTTTTTCCGGAAGACTGATTATGAAAAGGAGTTAAACCACATTTTATTGTAGTGCCAAAGTTCTTGGTCAAAAAATTAGTATCCTGTTTTATTTTTCATTATGCATCTAGATGTGTGGATGGAGATGACTATCTGACTTGGTGATGAATGGATTAGCTTGGTTGGGCATTTGGTGCTACTAGAATTAAATTTTGCATGAATTACATTGTATCGATTTCTCAAAAGAAATCCACTTGCGGGTTGTACTCCCAAAGGTAATTACCATATGCTGCCAAAGTAGCCCTTAGGGGTTGCGGGTTGTACTCTAGGGTTAATTAGGAACCCCGCAATTATAAGAGCTAGTTATTAGCTCTAAGCTAATCTTTCTAATAGTGTTAACTTTTAACAATGTCTCGTAGCATGATTAGGTCCATCAGACACTCTCAGATGATCTTAAAATGTGTGCAAGAGTCTAGCTCTTGATTAAGAGCTAGTTTTTTCTCTCTTCTATTAAAATATAAAAAAATGTTTAGAGCTAGTTTATAAGTCACTAAATACGGGTGTCCTTACCATATCCTGCCAAAGTAGCCTTTAGGGGTTGTTTGAATCTTTGGTTTTGTGAAAACTAGAATCCTATAAACTCGTTTTTGCCTAACTGCCCCTAAATCTCTGTTTGTACAGAGCAACAAATTCCAACACAAATAAAACCAGGTTCGCAAAAGTGCGTTTTAGCCAAATCGACTTCTTGTCGTTTTTAATAAATAAGTTTTTTCTAATCTCCTATTTTACTCGCGAAGCTTCTCCCTCGGCAAGTGTGTAATCAATTGGACGTGGCTTGTCCCCGCCACGGGTAATTAGTCCAAATCGATGAAGGTAGCCTTTGGTCACCGCTATTCACTCTCCCTCGTCGGTATCAATATACGGTGACGAAGACAAACGCTTTCCATGGTAGAATGAAGGCGCTGCCGCGGCACAAAGTAAATTCTGCCCTTAGCGGTTGTCTGTGTTGTACAACATCGGACTCTATTTTAAAAGAAAAAGAAAGCAAGAAATCCTAATTCTAGCCTATTTGTACATGGGTTTTTACCAAAACTCTTAAATCTTGGTAGGACTATATATACATGGGAGTTCTATGTTGTAATAATCAATATTCAGAGAAATAAATAATAGTCTCCTTATCTTATGTCTATTTGTTCTCTACTTTCATCTACTGTGTTTTTTATGAGAGATGGAGAGGGGAAGGTTCTAACCGCTGGTAACATATTTTATAACACGTTATCAGCACGACAAGCTCTACGTCGACATCGTCGTTGAAGCCGTCGCCGATCTTCGATGCCGACGCTCGCGTCGATGTACCGCCGCGACTACTTCTATGGCGTCGACATCCCGACGTTGTTAGTAGAACAGATCTGCTACCTCTACTTGCTACCGATCTGCACTACATCGATATGCACCGTCACTGTCAAGCAGACAGTTCTACGACAATGCCAAACGACCTACGTGGTATATATCTATTAACCACTGCCCTATGCGGCACGCGAGGTAGATCAATTTGGCATCCTTTACGAGGTACATAAAATAATCATGTCCTGCAGACTGGTCTCGATCATTGAACGAGATATTTTGATTTGTTCATATTCGCATTCTTGAATCGCATCAACGGTATATAACAGATTGCATGTAGGGTTAATTAAAAAATGCATGCAGTAAGCTGTACGTAAGAGTTTATCCATGCACACGGCAAGTGCTCCGCTGGAGGCAACCATCACATGACCTTGTGATGTCGAGGATAGCTAGGGCTATGACTATATCATGTTGTGTCAAGCGTGATGATGCCGGCAAATCTATGGCCGCAGGCACGTCTGCCGAATCGCGAGACACGAAGTTGCTGCGATCAAATTAATCGATCATTCTCCTGGCCTGCATGCCAGTATCACCTCATCGGTCCTGCACGACCACCGCGGCCAGTATGCTGTTCAATCGTTGCCTATTGCCCTCCGCAAACATCTTCTGCACTGCTTTCGCTGATATTGCCTGGTTCGCTGAGACGATGCCGCCTGCATGCGGCGCTCCGACTTCCCCTCAGCCACGCTATGCCACCGGCCGTGCATCTGCGACCCACGGCCCGCACGCTGTGCTCCGGTCACCATCTCCTCGTGTCGTTGAGATGGGTCCCGAAACGTGCGGCCTGCATGCCGCGATTACGCCACGTGCTACCGTTATAAACGATAGACAATATAAATGACAAAGAACAATAGATCAAGTACATGAGACACGAGATTTTAACGTGGAAAACCCTCTCAAGGTGAAAGGAAAAACCACGGGCATCAGCCAGTAAATCTTCACTATATCGGGTGAGGTTACAAACGTCGGAGATTTATAATTTTTCTTATCCCAAGACGACGGCTTACATGAATTATATATAGATAAAAAATCCTAATAGGTGACGATCCGTACCGCGGGGGGCTCGCTTCGGCCTAAGCTTCCCGGCGACGGGCCTCGCTTCGCTCCGGCAGAAATTAGCCTTTATCTTGTACATAACTGAATTTGAATCACAACTCAATAAACTCCATCTTGAGACAAATTCCTTCTTGTAGCATAAAACGAACCTTCACCCTGAAACAACAAAGAAATACTTTCGATGCCAAAATAGCCTCTTGGGTTAAACAATTATACCAACTAAGCTTGAGCAAAGCTCAAACTTAACAACAGGAACTGGCTTTGTCAACATATCAGCAGCATTATTATGTGTGCTTATCTTGCATACCTTCAGCTTACCTTGCGCGACCACATCGCGAACATAATGGTATTTAACATCAATGTGCTTCGTTCTCTCATGAAACATCTGATCTTTAGTGAGACATATAGCACTTTGACTGTCACAAAATAAATTAATGCAAGAATCATCTCCATAAAGCTCAGCAAACAAACCTTTCAACCAAACTGATTATTTACATGCTTCAGCAATAACCATGTATTATGCTTCAGTGGTAGATAGGGCAACAACGGACTACAATGTTGCCCTCTAACTCACAGCACAACTAATAATAGTGAACACATAACCTGTGAGAGATTTTCTCTTATCCAAATTAGCAGCAAAATCTGAATCCACGCAGCCAGTGAGTCCCTTATCAGTCCTGCCAAACTTCAAACAAGCATTTGTTGTGCCACGAATGTACCTAAAAATCCACTGAACAACATTCCAATATTCTTTACCAGGATTAGCCATGTATCTACTAACCAAATTCATAGCATATGATAAATCAGGACGAGAGCAAACCATGGCATACATCAAAGAACCAACAACACTAGAATATGAAACTCTTGACATGTACTCAAAATCCTCATCCGTACTAGCATATTGTAAAGCTGATAATTTGAAATGAGGAGCAATAGGAGTACTAACAGACTTTGTATCATGCATATTGAAACGATGAAGAACTTTCTTAATGTAACTTTGCTAACTAAGAAATAACAAACCAAAATTTCTGTCTCTTGTAACTTCCATACCTAGACTCTTCTTAGCAGCACCAAGATCCTTCATCTCAAACTCACTATTCAACAGTTTCTTCAACGTAGTGATTTCTTTCTTGCTCTTGGCAGCAATCAACATATCATCAACATATAACAGCAAATATATAGGTGATCCATCAATAAATTTAATGTATACACAGCTATCAAATTCAGACCTCTTAAAACCATGTGACATCATAAAAGAATCAAACCTTTTATACCATTGATGAGGAGACTGTTTCAAATCATATAAGGACCTCTTTAATTTGCAAACATGATCCTCCTTACCAGGTACTATGAACCTTTCTGGCTGGTCCATGTATATCTCCTCCTCGAGCTCTCCATGTAGAAACGCAGTCTTTACATCTAACTACTCAAGCTCAAGATCTCGCATAGCAACAATACCAAAAAATATATGAATTAAACTATGCTTTACAACTGAAGAGAACACATCATTATAATCAACGCCAGAAATCTGACTGAAACCTTTTGCTACTAACCTTGCCCTAAATCTTAGAGGCTCACTAGGAGACAAACCCTCCTTTTTTTTGAAGATCCATTTACAATGAACGACCTTCTTGTGTTTAGGCAAGCACACAATATCCCATGTGCCATTTTTCTCAAGTGACTGCATCTCTTCTTGCATAGCGAAAATCCACTTCTCGCGGTCACCAAAAACAACAGCTTCAGTGTACATAGCCGGCTCATGAATATTCTCAATCTGTTCAGCACAACTAAAGGCATAATAAACAATATTACATTCCTCAATTAAACGTGGACGAGGTCCACAACTCTTTGTTCTGCGATATGCAATAGACTGATTTTGAGGCTGCAAAACAGGAGGTGAGTGCTGAACAATATCATGAACATTGTTATCAACAATTTCAGTTTCCTGATCATCTACGTGCTCCACCTGCACGCTAACATGTTCCTGCTTCTCATCAGAACCAACTGGTGAAACATATGTGGACAAGCTGTCATTAAACATAACAGATTCATTGGAAACAACGTTCCTGCTCATGAAAGTCTTTAGTTTCAGGATTTCATAACTTATATCCTTTAACTCCAGAACCATAACCAAGAAACAGACACTTAATGGCTCTAGGTTCTAGCTTTTCATTATCAACGTGAACATAAGTAGTGCAACAAAAAACTCTCAACTGTGAATAATCAACAGACATATCAGACCATACCTCAATGAAAGTTTTCTTATTAAGTGGGATAGAAGGTGGTCGGTTGATCAAGTAACAGGCGGTGTTAGCAGCCTCAACCCAAAAACACCTATTCATACGAGCATTGGACAGCATGCAACGAGCCCTCAAGATGATGGTTCGGTTCATGCGCTCAGCCACACCATTTTGCTGAGGAGTGTACGGGATGGTGTGGTGCCTGACAATGCCTTCTTCCCTGCAGTAATCATTAAAAGCATCTGAACAGAATTCACCGCTGTGATAGAACAGCCCAATTTATACAAGATCAAGTACGGCTGTCCCCACTAACACGTTGACACACACATACTTTCACTTATATAAATCCGGTAGTCCGCCGAGTGTCCCGAAA